TTGGAGCGATCCAACTCGCTTCCCGGGCGGACGAACGTCCCCACCGATTAGGCGGGAAGCCTAGATTCTGGCGGGAAGCGCATTTAATGCTGAAGATTTGGTAGTTGGGGCACCAGCGGTCCACAGACTGCCACGTCAACACAGCCACCTGCCCATTGGCGGGTATAAATAGAAGCATTTATTTCATTGTAAAGGGTGGGCAACTTTCTATTCTTAGCATTCTAGCTTCAGCACTCTTACTCGCAGCAATTCTAACTGCCATGTAAGACGAACGGCCGACGTGCCTTTTTTAGCAAGTAGATTGTACTTAGGGGAGTTATTACGAAGTTAATAATACCTACTTACATTGCCTGCTACTTCACTTGTTTCCTGATCCATCTCATAGCTGTTAGGCTAGATATTCAAACACTCCACTCGAAATCTTTGGGCTTACGTGTTGGGTCCAAGGGTTGAAGGAATAAACCTCAACACATGGTAATGGCAAGGTTGGTGGAAACAAGAAATCCAAAACCTTAGTTAAGAACTCGGGTAAAAGCAAATCAGTTGCTAGCTCTTCTTCTAAAGAAGAGCAAAAATGTTTCCACTGCAACAAAACTGGTCACTGGAAGCGGAATTGCAAGGCATATTTGGAGGAACTGAAAAAGAAGGGGCATGGTGATGCTTCCAATTCAGGTATCTATGTGATAGAAGTAAATGTTACTACCACTACTTCATGGGTATTGGATACCGGTTGTGGTTCTCACATTTGTTCAAATGTGCAGGGACTAACAAGGAGTAGAAGGCTGGCTAAAGGTGAAGTTGACCTACGAGTAGGCAACGGTGCAAAAGTTGCAGCATTAGCAATAGGGACATTTACTTTGAATTTGCCCACGGGCTTAGTTTTAGAACTTGATAATTGTTATCATGTACCTGCCATTAGCAGGAATATTATTTCTGTTTCTTGTTTGGACAAGAAAGGATTTCATTTTATAATAAAGAACAACATTTGTTCTATTTATTTTAATGAGATCTTTTATGGTAGTGCTAGTCTCATAAATGGACTTTATGTTCTAAACCTTGAAATGCCTATCTATCACATAAATACAAAAAGGTTTAAATCTAACGACTCAAACCCAACATACCTTTGGCATTGTAGACTAGGCCATATAAATGAGAAGCGCATTAAAAGACTCCATTCTAGTGGATTTCTTGATTCTTTTGATTTTGAATCAATCGAGGAGTGTGAATCTTGTTTATTGGGTAAAATGGCCAAGTCACCATTTACTGGTAAAGGTGAAAGAGTTCACGGTTTATTGGACCTCATACACTCGGATGTATGTGGCCCAATGTCAACAATGGCCAGGGGAGGTTTTCAGTACTTCATAACATTCACTGATGACTTCAGTAGGTTTGGTTATGTGTACCTAATGAAGCATAAACATGAAGCTTTTGAAAAGTTCAAAGAATTCCAGAATGAAGTTCAGAATCAACTTGGCAAAACAATTAAGGCCATTCGATCAGATCGAGGTGGTGAATATTTGAGCCAGACATTTAGTGATCATCTAAGAGGATGTGGAATTGTTTCACAACTCACTCCGCCAGGTACACCACAATGGAATGGTGTGTCCGAACGGAGAAATCGGACCTTGTTAGACATGGTCCGTTCCATGATGAGTCTCGCTGAACTACCAATCTCATTCTGGGGTTACGCTCTTGAAACCGCTGCATTCATACTCAATAGGGCTCCAACAAAGGCTACAGAAAGGACACCATATGAGATATGGACAGGAAAGGTTCCTAGTCTAGCTTTTGTGAAGATTTGGGGTTGTCAAGTTTATGTAAAACGTTTACTTTCAAATAAGCTTGAACCCAAATCAGATAAGTGTTTATTTGTGGGTTATCCTAATGAAACAAAAGGATATTACTTTTACAACCAATCAGAGAACAAAGTGTTTGTTGCTCGTAATGGTATTTTCTTAGAAAGAGAATTTCTTTCCGAAAGAACCAGTGAGAGTAAAATTCAGCTTGAAGAAGTTCAAGAAATTCAAGATAGTCAGACTATGCAAGCAATCCCACAACCTCAGCCACAAGTTGTTGTGGATACGTCTGAGATAACACTCGCTCCAAGGAGGTCATCTAGGGTACGTAACGAACCAGTTAGATACATGTTTATCTTAACTGAGGATCGCGATGTATTATTAATTGACGAAGATGAACCTTTGACCTACCAAGAAGCAATAACGAGCCATCACTCCGATAGTTGGCTAGAAGCCATGAAATCCGAAATGAGATCCATGGCTGATAATCAAGTCTGGGACTTGGTTGATCTACCTGATGGTTGTAGAACCATTGGGTGCAAATGGATCTACAAAAAGAAATTGGATAAAGATGGTAATATAGATGTGTATAAAGCACGTTTAGTGGCGAAAGGTTACAAACAAATTCATGGTATAGACTATGATGAAACATTCTCGCCAGTTGCCATGCTTAAATCAATTCGGATTCTCTTAGCAATTGCCGCTCATTTTGATTATGAGATTTGGCAAATGGATGTCAAAACTGCTTTCCTAAATGGAAATCTAGAAGAGGACGTGTATATGATACAACCTGAGGGTTTTGAACATCCAAGTAATGCTGGGAAGGTATGCAAGCTTAAAAGATCCATTTATGGTCTGAAGCAAGCATCTCGGAGTTGGAATCTTCGTTTTGATGCTGCAATCAAAGAGTTTGGTTTCAATCAAAACGAAGAGGAACCTTGTGTATACAAGAAATTGAGTGGGAGTGCAATCACTTTCCTAGTCCTATATGTAGATGACATACTTCTCATTGGGAATGATGTTCCAATGCTTTCGTCTGTAAAGGCTTGGCTTGGAAAGTGTTTCTCAATGAAAGACTTGGGTGATGCATCCTATGTGTTAGGGATCAAAATCTATAGAGATAGATCTAGAAAACTAATAGGACTAAGTCAAAGTAACTACATTGACAAGGTCCTGCATAGGTTCAATATGCAAGATTCCAAGAGAGGATTCTTGCCTATGTCACATGGCACATATCTCAGCAAGACTCAGTGTCCACAAACACAAGATGAGCGAGATCGGATGAATAGAGTCCCTTATGCTTCTGCTATAGGTTCTATCATGTATGCTATGTTATGTACTCGCCCTGATGTAGCTTGCGCTCTAAGCATGACTAGTAGATACCAGTCAGATCCAGGTGATAGTCACTGGATAGCAGTCAAGAATATTCTAAAGTACTTGAGAAGAACTAAGGATGTATTCTTGGTCTATGGAGGTGAAGATCAGCTCATTGTAAATGATTACACAGATGCTGGGTTCCAATCCGATAAGGATGATTTTAGATCGCAGTCAGGATTTGTGTTTTGCCTCAATGGCGGAGCAGTGAGCTGGAAGAGTTCTAAACAAGACACGGTGGCTGATTCTACAACAGAAGCTGAGTACATTGCTGCTTCAGAAGCAGCAAAAGAAGCGGTATGGATAAGAAAATTCATCATTGAGCTCGGTGTGGTTCCTAGCATTGTTGGACCAATGGACTTGTATTGTGATAACAATGGAGCCATTGCACAAGCCAAGGAACCTAGATCGCACCAGAAATCAAAGCATGTACTCAGACGCTATCATCTCATTCGAGAAATAGTCAATAGAGGTGACGTCAAGATATGCAAAGTACCAACAGATTCAAATGTGGCTGACCCGCTCACCAAGCCACTACCACAAGCAAAGCATGAACGTCATACTAGTGCATTAGGCATTCATTTTGTTCACGATTGGTCCTAGTGCAAGTGGGAGACTGTTGGAAATATGCCCTAGGACAATCATAGTTTATGATTTATCAATAAATATTTAATGCTCATTAATTAATAAAGTTGCAAACTCATTTTATGTTAATTATTATTGTGAGTTTTCTTTATTAATATTTAGTCCCTGAATATTCTGTTTAGTAGCTAATTAAGTATGTGACTTAATTGTGGAATGATACACTTTAAAATAAACATAATATTCTTATTGTCCCTGGTCTAATATTATTAATTTGGGACATTAATAATTAATAGACCAGTATGTGGATTAACTGATGGCTATATTCCACTAGTCATGGGTATAGAGATATCAAGATAATAACATAGATGCTTGTTAGGGAACAAGTTCATTGGACAGACCCAACTTGAGGACACTGCTAGGTTATATGTCATCAGTGTTGTCCTCAATAATGATGATGTGTGCTATATTCTTATACTTGAGATAATCATGGTTACTAGCATGAGAATTAATATGTATTAACACCATTAAATGTTATCTTTAACTGGGTAATTATAAAGGTGGTGATTGTACATATTATGAATCATGTAGTAGTATGTGAATTATCAAGATAGTTTTTGTCACTCTTGTACATCGAGAGAAAGATATCTATTGGGCCCCTTGACAAGTAAGATTAATTAGCATGGCCATGCCCAAATGAGGTGTCATTTGATCAAGATTAATCTTACTTGGTAATCAAGAAATATTAATTGAGAATAACAAGGATGACACGACCTAACCTTGTCTCAATTAAGATATCGTTTGACAAAAGAGAATTGTTAGCACAAATTAATCATTAAAAGGTTATGTCAGATTTAATTGACATTTATATATTTTTGGATAGTCATGATGCCTTGCTAGAGGCCGCTTATGATTTGTGAGACTCGAATTAATTTCTAGCCCACTACCAATAATATATAAACCTACAGGGTCACACACCTAAGTGATTTGGATCATTAATGTTTGTTAATAACATTAAAATAGCTTGATTAGCCCAATTCGAAATAGGTTTTCGAATGGTATTGGGCTAGGGCCTCTTTAAGGGTTTTATTAGCCATAAAACCCCTTCTTTACTCCTCTTATAAATAGGGCCATATAGACCCACGAATTTTAAGAGTTAAAATTCACTTCTTAAACCTAGAGTGGAGAGGAAGAAAGAAGAGAACGCTAGCACGTTCCCTGCGGCCGATCCAGTCACGTGCGTGTGGATACCGGTAGAGCTCGGGATCGTTTTCTCGGACTGTCTGACATCCTTGATTAAGATTGCTATGTAAGTCCCTCTTAAATTCTTGTAATTTCGTTTATACTAAGAACCTCAGATCCGTTCGTTTACTTTTGGGTAGTAAAATTTTTGTTTATTCCGCTGCGTTTTCTGCCTGAAACCCAACAAAAGGGGCCCTAAAAATCAACAAATCGAACCGGACCGAGTCAGTATGATACCATGCGGGTCGATTCCTAAAGTAATTACAGAGTAGTTAGGATGTTTTATTGGGAAGTCTGATCTAGTCTTATCCGGTCTAGTCTGTTTAAGCCTGGTCCGATCTGCTCTGGTTAAATCTGGTCTGATCTGTTCTGGGGCTTTAACAGTCCAAGTAAAAACATTCTTACTCTGTATTTATTAAAATTTGGTTCTTATTTTTCATTAAAAGTTCGGTTCTCGATGCCAAAAAAATACGCGGAACCGTTAAAGAACCTGTTGAGGTTTTGTCCCGTAGATCCGAAAGCCCAACATAAACTTCGGATATTAAGGACGATGGATTCGGTATAAAAGTGAATAAAAATGTAAAAGGTGTATGAACTAGCTATTTTTACGTGGAAACCCGGAAAGGGAGAAAACCACGGGACTTTTTAGGCTAACGTCCAAGCCCGCTCTTTCTCATTTAATATGCTCCCATCACTCATTTACAAAGTACATATCTTCAGACTCCATTAATGAAGCTTTGTGAGCTATCTACAAAGAGGAAGAAGAAACAGTAAAGGAGGAGGGAGAGCCCAAAAGCCGATCCTCAAATAATGAAGCCAAGCTTCCTATTTATAGAAGGGAATGGAGACCCTTTGATGCTAATGGGCCGAAAAAAGGCCTTAATGGGCCAAGCTGACTGGGCTCCTTATCGGGATGATGCCTCGGGCCTCAGAATAGTAGTAGGCCGGGATATTATTACCCAACACAAGTCCCCCAGTTTCTTGAGTAGTGAGCCTGTGAATCTACTCGAGAAAGTATAATCCTGCTCACGTCCTTCCCTGCCTTCCTTGAATCAGAGTCTTCGAATAATTTCGGAAAGGCATGCATAAGCCATAAGTGAAGTGCAATCCCGCACTACGCACGACGGCGCTAAAGAGCCAACCGCTCGTGCTGCATAAGACGGCAGTCCCGACCCTGAATGGCATGGGTGGACCCGACCGAGAAGAAGGCACGACGGCGCTGTAGAGCCAGCCGTTCGTGCTGCATAAAAGCGACGATCGCCATCCCAGAGCAAGGATAGACGAGCCCGTCAGAAAACCATGCACGACGGTGCTGTGGAGCCCGTACGTGCTGCATAAGAGCGACGGTTGCCATCCTATAGCAAGGATGGACGAGCCCGCCAGAAAGCCAGGCACGACGGTGCTGTGGAGCCCGTACGTGCTGCATAAGAGCGACGGTTGCCATCCTATAGTAAGGATGGACGAGCCCGCCAGAAAGTCAGGCACGACGGTGCTGTGGAGCCCGTACGTGCTGCATAAAATAGGCGATCGTCATCCTAGATTAAGGATGGACCAACCTGACTCGGACAGACATGGACTTGACTCGACTCAGACAGACCTGGACTTGACTCAGACAGACATGGACTTGACTCGACTCAGACAGACCTGGACTTGATTTGAGACCACTGCGGGCCATCATGAATTCACATCACCTCCCAGCCAATTTATATCCCCCGTTCGCCCGCCTTCGCCGAACGGGTCGTTCTCCCCTGGTTATTCCAAACAATAGTTCCATTCGCCCGTTCGTCCCACTAGAACGGTCTGATGTACAATGATGATCACGTCGTGCCGAGGTGGCTGATCGTAGAGCTACAGAAGCGGTCAGATCATCTGGATAATAGGTCATTTCTGCTATAAGTCAGCACCAGGGTTAAGGTGCAAGCTGTTCGGCTTATTTCCGATATTTGTTCGTAGTTTCCTGATCCGCAAGGCATCACCTCTTGCTGCCTGCTGCCTTGTAGGCCCAAGGCTGATGTAACTTGTTCGTGTTATCATCCGTGTTCTTCCTGATCCGCAAGGCAATCACCTCTTGCTGCAAGACAGTTTCACAATTTGTGTAGTGTCTGCCATCTTCCAAGCCCATAATTCCGATGCATACCGTCGGTTTTACCGTCCGGGGTCATCCATATCATGAGGTTGAGATGTCCATCCTGGACCATTGAGAATAAGGCTCCCAAGCCGGGTCTCCCCCTTATTCTCTGCCAAAATGGAGACTCGCCTTCAGGTTACAGCTCGGGTTCCACCATAATAAATCACTACATCGTGGTTCGGGCGAGCTGCATAGCCAAGGCAAGATTTTAAGACCAGAGTCCCGATCCCCCGCTCGGTCACCCTATGACTTCGGATGCCGCCCGGTTCGTCCTACTCAAGATCTTTTACACCATCTCCCAAGCTGAGTCCGGGCTTGGTTAACCTGCATCTTTTTTTTTTTTTTTTTTGTGCTGAGATGGTGGCTCCCCATGGATCGAGACAAGTGGTATCTATCGATCGAGGTGAGACTTTATGGAATGTGAAGATGCCTCCTAAGCAAGTAATGTCGTGATGTGGGGCTGATCATGATATGAGAAACATGAATAAATCCAAGGGTCTTGCGAGCGCCCTCTGCTCAAGGACAACGGCAGCAACTGCGGCAGCGGTCCACAAAATGTAGCCATGCTGAAAGTCAAGCAACGGTCCTTATCCGCGCAGTGCGGGGACGAGGCCGATCTTCAAAGAGGATAAACATGTCGTGCCGACAGGCCGATCGTGATATGCTGATGTCGGCAATGAGAAGCCAACCCGAAGGTCAAGCAACGGTCCTTATCCACGCAGTGCGGGGACGAGGCCGGTCTTCAAATATGATAATGGCACCATACCAGAGGGTCGGTGGGCATGTAATGAGGTCGCCACTGGGGGCTGATCGGAAAGGAACTAGCAACGGTCCTTATCTGCGCAGTGCGGGGACAAGGCCGGTCTTCAAATGATCATCACGCCGAGCCAGGAAGATCGGTCGGTCGTGGTGAAAGGACAGTCAGCGCTGGGAGGCCGATCTGTAAATCCGAGGCCGTGGTGAAAGGACAGTCAGTGCCGAGCCATAATGTTGCTCTAGGTGCCGAACGGCGGAGGCCGGATTGCCAGTCAGGTAGCGTAATCTGAATGCTCGTGTATCGTACAGTCCATATGACTTCTCTTCATGTGTTGTGACATCTACACATTTGTAGTCCCTTCTTTTCTCAATCGTTCATGATTCCTTCTACACACTAGTAACCTCACTCTGTTTTTTTTTTTTTTTTTTTTTTTTTTCTCTTCTTTTTTTTTTTTTTTTTTTTTTTTCTTTCTCTTTTTTTTTTTTTTTTTTTTTTGTAAACCTCCCCGTCCGAGCTGGTCGAACGGCTCTAAATGTAAATATTCCTTCTTTTTGTTGCCAATCATGAACGTCTTTGCGCTTCATGCTGAACGTCATAAACATCTCTCTGCTTCATGACTTCCCCGTTCGGGCTGACCGAACGCCTATGAATGTGATTCTTTTCTGCCGGTCATGAATGTCTCTGTGTTTCATGCCGAGCATCATAAATATCTTTGTGCTTCATGATTCCCCGTTCGAGCATATCGAACAAATTTTACTGCACAATAAGCATGGTAATGCGGCCGTACGGCCGAACAACATATACAAGTATATACACACATGTGTAACATTTCTTTTTTATTCTTTATTTTTCATCCATGACTATCGGCCGAAGCGGTAATGATAACCCTTGGCCTAGATTTATCTTTTGAACTGCCCATACGCTCTCAGAACCACCTAGTGGTTTCCCGGGCGTTCTCAGGAAAGCTTTCAGCTAATTAAAGTACGTATTTCGCCCCGTAGTGGGTATAGTTGTCGTTCGGGCATTTAATACCGAGTGGAACCGCTCATGGTATCTAATTTTAAACTACGTCATTGAGCCACGCCCTTGCGAGACGCTTTAGTTAATTCATTTAGGCCGACCGGGAGTGGACCGATCAGCCATTTAAACCAAACATTTATTTAAAACGTTGGTGATCTTATTTATAAAGCTCCGTTCGGCCTTATTCTATTCGGGAATTTTAATCCCTACTAAAATAATGGTGTTGCAATTAATAGTAAGAATACTATTTAATCAACCAATGAATACTCTCATGCATGAGTACTTGGTGTGTTGTCAAAGTACTACCATTTGGGGCACTCCGATCGCTTATATTTAGCCGATCGCGGGTTGGCCGGTCGGCCCATTAAACCAAATCATTTAATTTTAAATGATAATGAAATTCTCTCTCGAGCTTCGCTCGACATTATTTTAGCTTCGAGACTTTTAGTTCCTCTAAATAATGGTGAAAACAAATGTTCCCAGACGATACTGTTGGAAATTAAGTGAAAAAATCGTGGTACTTAGCTGGATAGGCTGATCTTCAGCTGCCAGACCAAGTTATTGGCCAAGTTTAGAATTGATTTGGCTATGGGTGATCCGGCCAAGCAGTTCGTGTAACAGTCCATTTCAAGAGCAAAAAGCAGACTCTATGAGCAAGAGAGCTAACGGGTCTTCATCTGGCCCAAGTTGCTTGTAAATGGACCCCAGGTTAGTGCCCAGTTCACAGGTTTGGGTCGATCGGTGCTTTTGAGAAAACGTTCGGTACTTCTCGTTCTTCCTTGTATAACTGTAATGGTATAGTGGAGGTGCCGATCGGGTATTTGGCGGACAGGTGGGTTGATCTTCTATTGTTTGAACAGTCCGCCGCAATTTGTTAGAATGGCAGAATGTCCCGAACGGCAAGAAGCTCTGAATTTTGGTGCATGGGGAGGATGCCGTTCGGTGAGCCGGGCGGTTTGTGGGGGCGTTCTGGTTTCAAGAGTTTCCCGTCCAGTGAAGGTATTCCCTTTTGATTTGCTCTGGCCACTTAAGCCCACCGGCCACTAGCCCAGAAAATGTTAAAGGGTTGAGCAGAAACCCCGTCCCAATAGCCGGACCTTATAGCAAGAATGGAGTAGGGATTCCTCCTGCGTAGGTTTAGCCGAACGGGTAGCCCGAGCAACTAGTTGATGTTCTGGGTGTTCGTTGATGGTCCACCACTGAGCGGCTGGCCGATCGGGGATGCCGGCCAGAAAATACGATGCCGGACGGGGTGTCGAGCAGGTGGTCTACTCTGGCATGGGTTGTCTACTTTTACCTGTTCGGGAGGTATTGCCGTTCGGAGGATGAACCAAACTGCTGGTCTGGTGTATTCATCTCAATTGCATAGTGCCTCCTCCCCTTTTACAGGAACATTTTTTGGGAGGCCAACTTCTGGTCGCACTGCGATTGTTGATTAGAAACCCATCCCCTATTTCTGAGTGCCGGTCGGCGCGGAACGCTGCTCCGTAAGGTGTTGTCGACGTGCGGCCTCTTCTGCAGGTCCTCCGGGAGTTCTCGTTCGGGATCCGGCTAGCTTTCGTTGAGTAATGAACATGGGCCGAATGGGTTCCAGGCCTAGGAGCCGGGTTGTGATGATGCTGATGATACCCAGGTCGTTCGGGCAAGGCATGTGGTCGTCAAGACCGTTAGCCGATGTTGATTCATAATTTTGGGATACAGGGCATGTTCGGCCAGGAAATTCTCGTTCGGGCATTACTATACTGAACATGGTTTCCTTTCTTTATTAGATGTGTGTGACCTCTTCTGCAAGTCCTTCGGATGCTAACGATGGACGTTCGAGGAGCTTCCGTTCAGGAGGCGGCGCTGGCTTATCGGATAATGATGAATCTGTCAGATAATCATTATTGCGTTGTCAGGCTTTCCTCGTGAAAGCAAAACTGTCTTTCTTTGTCATCAAGTCAGTGGGCCGGCGGGGTCCCACTCGTCATCTTCCCCTGTTGCATCTGGAAGTTCCCATAGTCACCTCCCTTATGTTTTTCCATGACAGTAGCTTGCACCCTTTGTTTGATCTACCGCTGTTATCCAGTCCCCATCCAGAAGTTCTGCTGAGTTGGTGGGGCTGCAGGGACAAGGATCAAGCTGCCAGACTGGACCTGGACTTATTCCCCTCTTTTTTCCTTCTTTCTGGGAATCATTTTTCCCTCCTTTTCTTCCTTGCTAAGACCCAAAATTTCCCAGAATCATTTTTCCTCCCTTTTTGCTTAAATCAGTAAGTTCTAGTATATATAAAAAAAAAATTTGCAGAACACATTAAATCTTTTTGAAGCGTTTCCCACAGACGGCGCCAATGTTGAGGTTTTGTCCCGTAGATCCGAAAGCCCAACATAAACTTCGGATATTAAGGACGATGGATTCGGTATAAAAGTGAATAAAAATGTAAAAGGTGTATGAACTAGCTATTTTTACGTGGAAACCCGGAAAGGGAGAAAACCACGGGACTTTTTAGGCTAACGTCCAAGCCCGCTCTTTCTCATTTAATATGCTCCCATCACTCATTTACAAAGTACATATCTTCAGACTCCATTAATGAAGCTTTGTGAGCTATCTACAAAGAGGAAGAAGAAACAGTAAAGGAGGAGGGAGAGCCCAAAAGCCGATCCTCAAATAATGAAGCCAAGCTTCCTATTTATAGAAGGGAATGGAGACCCTTTGATGCTAATGGGCCGAAAAAGGCCTTAATGGGCCAAGCTGACTGGGCTCCTTATCGGGATGATGCCTCGGGCCTCAGAATAGTAGTAGGCCGGGATATTATTACCCAACAGAACCGTTACATAATAATTTTGTTTTTATCATTGCATTTTAGTATATATATTTTACTGAGTAATATTTATTTAAATATGAAATTCACTAATTTGGTTTAGTTGCTAACTTGATAAGCATTTAACCGCATCTTCTTGTAGTGAATGTTTTATGAATTTGTTATGTATTTATGTTTGAAACTTAATTTTGAGGTTTGAAATGAATGTAACCTTGAACATATTTGTAGTTTTTATAATTTTAAACGTTAAATATCTTTGTGTAGGGCAAATTTGGCGGTGATTTGTAGGAGATTTTAAATAATTAGGAACCTAAAATGGCTAGAACCGAATTGTTAAGGCTTAGTTTGGTTCCATATCAGTTCTACGAATAAGCCATAACTACTGAACCGATAATAAAAATCGAGATTTTAAAATAGTTCCACAAAATCTACCTAAAAACCAAGCCGATCTCAAACCTACTTTAAATGCACCAAGCACTCCAAAATTTAATAAGTTTGTCACGTCTCCTCTCATTTCTATGGCTTCCTCAAGAATAGTGTTGGAGAACAATTTTGTTCACACTCATTTGAGAGGGTTATGTTCACCCCACCCCTATTTGCCTGCCATGTGGCAAGGCAATACTTCACAATTTGGAAATTGTTTTATCTTTTTCTTTTTTAATCCATTTTTTAAAAAAAAATATATCAATTTTTTTCTTTTTTTTACGATCTTTCATATGGTACTAATATTGCATATAAAAAAAATTTAAAAAAAATCAACTAAAAATAGATATTTTAGAAATAAATGTTTTTTTTTCAAATTTTTATATATACAAAATTGATATCATTGAAAAGATCATAAAAAACTAAAAAAATTTATATATATATTTTTAAAAAGTAGACTATAAATAAAAAAGTTATAACATTTTAAGGGAAAAATTGGATGGAATGCCACATGGCAACCATAGAGCAAAGGGGGTGAACATCACCCTCCTTAGTGAGGGTGTACAAAACTGCACTCATAGTGTTGGACTCGGTGCGGGCCACCCGACCTGGGAACCGGCCCGATACAGTGTGGGCCTGGCCCGGGAACCGGGGTACCAGTTCCGGGACTAGGCCCGGTTTAAGGATGAAACCGGGGCGGTTCCGGGATTGATTAAATGTGAATCGGCCCGGTCGGGCCGGGCCCGGTTTGGGCCTTTTTTTGTTTGGGCTGAGTTTAAATAGGTTGAGCTGGGTGTTTCCGATGGGTTTGGGGGGGGGGGGGGGGGGGGTAGGGGATGAAATAATCAAGAAAACAAAAAAAAAATAGAACTGGACCCGGCCCAGAACCGGTAGACAACCGGGCCGGTTTCAGGCCTAAACCATTCACATCCAGACCCGGCCGAGCCTAGGCCCGACCCGGACCCAACCCGGACCCGGGTCCATCACTACTCAAGAACGGGTGCTAATTGAATCGTTAGTGAGAATGTTGCTCTATGCAATGCTTGGGTTAGCATATCTCAAAATGGTATGATCTGCATAAATCAATCGAGCAAGATTTTTTTGGATCGAGTTCATGTTTTATTTTCGAAAAATGAAGTGTTCCTCATAGTCGGGGTTCAATTGAGTCCCATTTCAAGATCATCAATCACCAATGCTCTATGTCGAAAGGTTGTGTGAGTAAGGTGAAGGCAAACCCGATGAGTGAATGCAAATATGATATTCATGACATAATCCAATGTACTATGTTTAGACACACAAGTTGAGAAGTGAATCCAAATGCTCAAATGTAATACGAATTTAATGAGGATGCTCATAAAATTTTCACACATGATTTAATTGAATGCTTAGAAGAGAATTTGATAATAATCAAACTGTACTTGAACTCAGTTTATTTTTTGTTAATCGAAAAACGTAAAATAATAATGAAATTTATACGTAGTATTTTCCACAACGAAATGTGTACCTTTTTATTTCATAAATATTTTGAAAAATATAAAAATATTATTTGTAATGATTTAATTAATATTTTACTAAATTGAAGTCTAATAAAATATGGCAAGTATAATGTGAGCCTGTTTGGCAACCCAGTTTTTTGGCTTATCAGGCTTATCAGCCAGCTTTTTCACCAAACACGTAACTTCAGCTTTCGCGCTCTGAATTGTGTAATAAGCAGAAAAAATAAGCTCTGAATTGTGTAATAAGCAGAATCAGCCAATGCAGCCACTTCAGCCATAACTTCATAAATTTCAGCAGAATCAACCAAAACAGTCGATTTTCATCTTATCAAACCGGCTCTTTATTGGGGATTTGCACGGTAAAATTGTGTTGACGGGTCTATTCCATTATTTGTGCCATTTGAGGCATCAACACCGAAAAAGGACGGCCCATTGAGCAGCGAGTAGAACCAGATGCCCGCTCCCTTTCAAATTTGAAAAATTGATGAAAAAGCAATCATTTCAAAACCCTTCAATTCTCTTCTCCTCACAAATCTATATACACGTATGATTAGAGTATATTGATTTCAATTATGGCATACAATCGGCGATCGATTAGTCAGTCACCTTCGATGGATTCGCAATGCTATCATTCTCCGACTATCTCTTTCTCAACCAACGAAGACAATAGAGGTTCTAAGTTATAGCTTATCTGAAAATGCTGTATTTGTGCGTTTGTGTGTCTTTTCTTTTCATTTCGTTTTTGTGTGGAATCGACAAAAAAAAAGAGTTTTGTGTTGACACACGCAGTTTATGCTTAAGTGAAAGTGTGATTTTGGTGATTTTGGTGAGCCATCATTATATAAATGACTTGCGGTGTAGTTTCTGTTGATTTGAATTCTGAACTGCTTCTCGTTCTGTTTCTCTTTTCTCGAATTCAGAAAGAAATGCTGAAAGTTGTTCAAATCTTTGATTTTATGAAATTTGGAACTTGTCTTTTCAGTGGGTTATCCAGACCCGGCATTTGGGCGCTCTTATGGGCACTTTGGAAGCCCAATGGATGCGCGTGAGGCGTTTCTCATAGAGATTGAAAAGGAAAGCACCCGAGAGAAAATTATAGCAGATGAGATTGCAAGAGCAAGGTATGCTGAAGCCCGGATGGAGGAAGAATGGGCACTGCAAAGGGATGGGAGGTATGACCAAAGGTTTCCCCTTCTGGATCAACATCCCCATGACAGGTCACCAATTGGCCAGCGATCATTCGTGGGGACCTCTGGGGCTGGATTTGCCACAAGAAATGAACACAGACAGCTTGAGGTGTCTCCTTATATGGAAGGGAGAGCTGAATCAAGGAGTTCAGAGATGTCTTTTGTGGACCGTAGGGTCGAATCTCGAATTTCGGACCGAAGACACCCATATGACTCTCTGAGAAACTGAGTAGGGAGCTGAGGATTTCCAAGGAAGTAACAGGTTTCAAGAACCCATTTGAATTTTAGCATGCATGATTCATGAAGTATATACTCTGGTATGACTTATTGAGTGTATAAGCATTTCAAATTTGTCAATGGATGGCGCTCCCTTTTAGTTTTGCTATGTATGTGGTGGTATCCTTTCATGAATTTAATGAATTATGTGGCAATGCACTGTGTCACTGTACTTTTCACATTCCATAGGTTACATATCTAGAAAGTATGCCTAGATTAAGATTTTTGAACTAAGAGATATTCAATTAAGTAGTGCTGATGAAGCTAGTCTATGGTCTGTAAATGCCATACTTCTAATGCACCTGTGATGCCAACTGTTACAGTTGCAATTATTTTTCGTTAACCTGTTTTGTTGGTTAAGAAGTATCAATTGATGTTTCTCAATGGCACATAAGACTCTCATTGTCCTCTCAGTTTCTTTGTCATTCACACTAACCAAGCTTAACCACTCAACCCAGTGTGTGCTTGAAAGTAGGGTGTGATGTGTATGCACACCTTACCTCTACCTTAAAACTTACGCAGTACAATTTTACATGTTTGGAACTCCTTTTTGGGAAGTTACATAGTTACATTAACTTCGATGGAAACTAGCATCATTTGTTGAAATGTGTCTACTCTAGGGATAAAGAGGTGTTAACCATGACATTTTTGGGAGTGAGGGATTTGTATATTTTTATAGTTAGATATTCTTGAGATTTTCAAATAAGCATATTTTACTTATGACTTAGGATCTGAAAATCCTTTACAGCAAGGCATGTAGGCATTATCTCTGGATATATGATTTTCTCATGTAATCTAAGTTGCTGTAACCTTTGTGAATTCAGGAAAAAAGTTTGACAAGACTATTGTCATTTTTTCATTCTTCTTTTTTCCTCCTATGATGTTATATTATTAATTGACTAAGCTCATCTCATTCAGGACCCAGATGTATTTGGAACAAAGGTTGAATATATTTTCATTTCAAGTGATTGTTCTCATTTCCTTGGGGTATTAGTGTCAATGTTGAGCTTCCATAGAAATTTATCCTTTTATTGAAAATGTTGATTTCAGTATGTGATCCAAGTGGCTTAACAGTGTAAGGACTGGCAGATGAAAGATGGAAAATAGTCTAAATGATGAACTAATTGCAAGTTTATCATGGTATCAAATCGCATTTTTAGTCCTCAAATAATATTCATAGTGAAATGTAATTCTCGTGTTAGCCCAAAGTGTGTAGATGTAATCCCCGATTGTCTTAGGGGGTGTATTGTATTAGGATTTAGTGGCAAAATTTTAAAAGTACATGGATTTTAAAAGTTTAGGTGTATTCAATGTGGACTTTTAAAAGTCCACAAAAGTCTAGGTGTATTCAATTCGGACTTTTAAAAGTCTATAAAAGTCTAGGCGTATTCAAATTTCCGTTCATTCTTATTGACTTTTAAAATCATGGATTCTCGTGGACTTTTAACTCATTTTTAGTGCAAAAAATCTCTACAATTGTCTCTTCTCCTCACCAAAGATTTCCGTGGACTTTTCTTATATCGGTTCTTCATCCCGTCCCACCCCATTCCTCCCCTCCCTCCTAGGGATGGACCGGGCCAGACCCAGTTTCTGTTCCGAGTCGGGCCCGGCCGGGCTTGAAATTTTTTGGGTAAGGCCCGGGACCAGCCCGGGAGTCTACCGGTATCGTACTCCGTATTATATAGAGGAAATCACTCACGGTAGGACTAAAACATAGCATTATTCTTAAAGTATGATTAAATGTTTGGTTTTTCTTAAATGGGAATAAATATTACATATTCACCCCTAATTTAATTAATTAATGGGAAAACTGTCAAATAGGTCCTCGAACTTTCATAAAAAAATCAATTAAGTCCTTCCATAGGAGACTTTGTCCGGTCGTCGCGATTTGGGGCGGTTCCCGGTGGAATTTTTTGATGAAATTTTTTGAGCATCTTATTCATCAAGTCTAGTTTACTCATATCAAATTTTAGCTAAAAATTTAATCGGGAGCGCATTCAAATTAATTCGAGAACGCAAAAATGCGCAGTTATCTTCAAGAATTAATTTGAATGTGTTCCCGATTGAATTTTTAGCTAAACTTTGGTATAAGTAAACTAGACTTGGTGAATAAGATGCTCAAAAAATTTCATCAAAAAAAACTACCGGGAACTACCCCAAATCGCGACGGCCGGACAGAACCTCCTATAGAAGGACTTAATTGACCTTTTTATGAAAGTTCGAGGACCTATTTGATAGTTTTCCCTTAATTAATTAATATAATTAATTGTCCCTAGTTCCCTTTCAGAACCAAAGCCATTTTGTTGGTGACGCGTCAGTCCGATGACGACAGCGGGGAACTCCGGTGATGGATGTGGACAGGTCACAGGCATATCGGTAGCGACAATCTAGGTGAAAATTTTGACGAACAGCAGTGGCGGTCCGCATTTAAAAGTCTATGGACTTTTTGAAAGTCAATAAACTTATCCATGAATTTAAAAGTCCATAGAATTCATTCATAAAAAAGTCTATGGATTTAAAAGTCCATTGACTTTTTTAAAAGTCCATGGATTAAAAAAAGTCCACAACAATCCAAATTGAATACACCCCCTTAATGTGTAAATGTAGTCTTTGCTTGTATTATACATTTCATTTATTAAAGGATCATACTATCGTATTTATTACAATTTGGACAATTGAGAAGTTAAGGATTACAATTCAATATTGATACTATTGAAGGATTAAAAGTGCGATTTAGCCTTTCATTTAATTCTTATGATGATAGTCGGATGATACAGATACAAACATCGATCCCCAAATCGTATTTATGAGAGTATATTGTAATTTTCATTTTAAGAAGTCATTTTATCATAAGATAAGTTTAGGGAACAACTTAAGTATACACTGCACGTCACAAATATATCATACATACACCCATCAAATTTTCTGGGACGTGTCACCTATATATTGCAACACATCCATGAATCGCCATTTGTCAGCCACACCATTCAAATCTCACCATTGTTTTCGGTCATTCCATGGATAAATTTTATTTAATTAAATAATTAATTTCTAATTTGTAATAATATTTCCCCCCCGGCCTCTGACTGAAAGTCGATATTGGCTATAGTTCTTCGATCCCAACAAATAGAGCATATATTCATCGAATAATAACAAAATTATCATCATATCTTAATTAATTTATTAGATCGATCTATAGAAGAAGAGATCGAAATGTCCGGCGGGGTTGGGCCATGCAGCGACATACGTCTCCCCAAGGAAGAGACGGTAACGACGGACGACACTAGCAGCAGCGGCAACCGGGGAAATAATAATGATATAAATTCTGTTTCGAAGCGGCCGCTGCCACGTCACGGCGGCAGGGGGTCGTTCACGTTTCGGCAGCTGAATGCCCTGGCCGTGATGGTCGTCCTCTCGGCCAGCGGGATGGTGAGCATGGAAGATTTCGCGTTTGTGCTGTTCTCCATTGTGTATATCTATTTCATCTCCAAGGTGGCGTTCCCCCGTTCAACGCCGCCTTTGGAGGATCCGGTGTTCGACCAAACTAACCGGACCCTCGGCCTCTACGTCTTCGCTGGAGCTGCCATCGGCTTGTTTCTCCCCATCGCCTATGTTTTTGAAGGTTTGTCTATTATTATTATTACTCCGAGATACTTCCTTCTGTCCTATAAAATTCGATCTTTTTTTACCGGGGGCGTAGCTCAGCTGGTAGGAGAGTGTCACAAGGAGAAGTCTCGGGTTCAATTCCGAGCAATGAAACCTCACTCCCTTTCCATTAGAATGAGATCAAAACCCAATTTAGTTTGTAATTGTCCGGTCGGTTTTGGGCCCTCAAGAGAAGTGTCATCTGTTATTTTGATTTTTCTTTGTTAAAAACACTCATTAAAATATAAGTTATAAATTTTATATAATAACTAAAATTATTATTCAAAATTTATTGATGTTGATCGAGAAAAGTCAAATTAGCACAGTTTTATGGGCTGGGATGATTATTTTTACCGTTGGGCACAGGTATATTTGAAGGAGACAAGGAGGGGATCAAGGCGGCAGCGCCGCACGTCTTCCTATTGGCGAGCCAGGTGTTCATGGAGGGGGTGGCCATGACGGACCGGTTCTCGATACCGGTCCGGGTTTTCGTTCCGGTGCTGTACAACTCCCGGAGGATTTTCACCTTGGTGGAGTGGCTGAGGAGCGAGATTGTAGCTAAGGCTGAGGAGGAGCAGAGAGGGAGCGGTCGGAGATTGTACGTCGGGAGAGTTCTCGCGGTGGCGAATATGGCCTTTTGGAGCTTCAACTTGTTTTGTTTCTTGCTCCCCGTTTACCTGCCCAAGGCCTTCAAGCTTTACTATTCTTCAAACCCTAAGCATGCTTGATTGTCTTACTATTCTATAAGGCAACACCGACTAATCATAATAATTGACTATATATGTTGATGGGATGGTAATTAATAAACGTCGAGTTCCCCCCTGTTATATGGTGGATTGTAGTGTACAAATTAAAAGTATTTGAGTACTTTGGAGGCTTGGCTTAGTTGTACTGAATTTTCTGGTTTGTATTATCTATCTCTATATAAAAGGAGGTGGAAATCAAGTCATTTTTTTCGCTCAAAAATGTCTCAATCAAAGGTAAAAAAAAATGTTACTACTGAGTTAAAAAGGGTGATGCTTTGTTCAAAGGATACGGGTAGAAAAGGGCATAAAAATGGGGTGACCTGGTCAAAGTAATTACTACTCCGTATTAGTGTAGTGCATTGGAATATTAAAAATTGTATGATCATTTCACGGGTCTATGTTATCAGAAAAGTGAAGGAAAGGACAATAAAGCTCTGATTTACGCTCAGTTTTATAACCTCCCTAAACTCCTCTCTATGGGTTTTGAGAGTGTGAGATGAGATTGAGATTGCGAGTGGCAAAGGAGGGGCGGAAGCAGCAGGGCAGCAGGCGGGTGGCCGGAGGTGGAGTCTTGGACTGTAAGCGACACCGCCGACATGATCAACAGTTCAGCTGGGCCACCTGGATGAGTAGGCGGGCTGCTGGGCTGACGCAGGCGGCTGACGACACAACGCGACGCAGTTGACGGTGGACAGCAAGGGACGGGAGACGAGGCCAGTGGTGGACTGGTGGCATCTCTGCGGCTTGAGTACTTCACAAAGAAGAAAGGTACGGTGAGATTATTGTTGGACTAGCCTCAAAATTTAAATCTGTAATTAGTTGAAAGCTTAATTGAAGAAAGGTAGGGCGAGATTAGTCACAAGCTTCTCTTTATTTGGGATTTCTCAATTATATACTCCGTATTTTCTTTGTCTCAGGAAGAGTGTGTAGGTTTCGCACAATCTCTCCTAATTCAACTAAAAAGCGTTATTAGCTAGCAATCAATATAATATTTTTGTGCACATATAATGGGGAGCCTCCTTATCTTCACTAAAGTAGTGATAAAAAGAGACTTTGGTGGCTCCCTGCAAACTTTTAATTTCTTTTTAATTATCTACATTTTATCATTCATTTTTAATTGATTGTTCCTCAATGACAGAGGAATAATTAAAATGTTTCAATTTTTTATAAATTTAAAAATAAATAGACTTGGTAGCAAATAACACCAATTTTGAATCCCAAGTTTCTCCATTTATTGAAAGCCATGAAAGGTAATTTGTAAACACCATTATGTTATAATTAGAAATCCAGTTCACAGACTTTATTCCACTACATAGATCTTATCATTTATCTCTTAAGTTTTACGAGTAGCATTTTTTTCTAATGATTTCGTGCCTTTGTTTTGGATTCCTGTGAATAGCAAGATTTTTACTCATTCTTATGACATGGCATACCCCTGCAAAATACAAAATATAAAAATAGTTAGTAAACTGTTAAAGATGAAAATGGAAATCAAGTAATTCACTTTCAATGCATAAATCTCAAAAGAACTTTCTGTATACTCATTTAACTGCAGGTAAGTAGTCTGTTTAGAATTAAGTGCTTCATTGCTTCAATATTCAAGCTTCGGAATACATTTTGTTCATTTTTACTAATGTGTTCAACAACATAAGTTCCATATTAACTGACTGTAAAAGCTCACTTCTCAATTCCCTGACGGTCAATAGGTAACTCCTCTACCTCTCTTACACCCGATCAGGATCCTCTGCCATAAGGCAGAGTGCCTTGCGACATCCGACGGCGGGGAGGCGACCAGGACGACCTCGAGATCGGCAAAGGAGTGGAGCCCAACATCTTCGGCCGTCCAATTCCCGATCGAACGGCCCGGAAGAGCCAGGCACCCTGCCTTGCTTTAAAGCAAGGCAGAGGTTCCAGATCCCTCTTACACCAACCTTTATGTCAACTCCGGATAGCAAAAGACGAACTCTTGCAGCCACCGTCACACTGGAGGTGTGCTTGAATGCCATCTCCAACTGACAGGATGTATGCAGGACTAGATTGAAGAAATGTCAACTTTTGTGAAATCAATTGACAGGAATCATCTGCTAACAGTTGGCCTTGAAGGATTTTAGTCCATAAGATTCCAAAAGATTGAATGTTAATCCCGAATCTTGGGCTTCTGATCTTGGGCCTCTTGGCTCTGAATTTATTCAGAACTCAAATCTCTCAACCATAGATTTTGTCTCCGTTCATGTATATCCAGATCACTGGTGAGCTTACTTTTCTATAGGAAAGAAGCTAATAATTGTAGTTTAAGGATCTTTATAGCAGATAACTATTAGGCTTAAAAACTCCGAGCTTTTAGCATATAACTTTTACGAATTAAGCACTATCTAGGAGCTGGACATGGAAGTTGGAATGGGGACTCTTATGGAAAATTCTATAACATCCCCGACCACAGTTGACAAGATTTTCAGAAAAGTCTTCCTTCAGGAATCACCAAACCTTGCTACCGCATTTACCTTGCTATCTCCAAGATAATTCTATTCTGTTGAGGATGTGAGCTAAAAAACGAGTCAAAGCCTTCAAAGGTGTCTTATGCAGCAAACATTTTTAGAAAACATAGCTCACAAACCTTGCTACCGGAGGTTTGATAAGGCTGGTTCTGTTTCTTTAGCCATTCTTAATCTGTTTTTTTTTCTTATAATGACCTGTAGTTGTTCATTTTGACTGAAGTAATGATATTAATACTTAGTCTGTATTTGCGTGCTACTCCATCAGTCCATTGGGTGCTATAGTTATATGAAAATTGACAGAAAGTTAGTTTTTTACATACATTTGAAATGGAAGAATCATAATGTAGCCTAAAGATGGGATATAATTTAAAGTTTCTACAAAGTGATTTTTTCAGTAGAACTTATAAAGATGGGATATAATTAAAATTTGTTAAAACTTATTCTTTTTTGTTTTCAATACATTTCAGTTTTATTTTGATTGTTCTTTGTTTTGCAGGCCATATGCAATTTACAAATGTTTGCAGTAGCACCATGGACGCGTATGATTGGATGCAATGAATGTAATCTTGAGGATTAGTAACCCGGCTCTTTCTTGCCGTTTATTCAGCTTGAAAATGAACATTTGTGTGGTTAATTGTTAAAATCTTGGGAGTACAGAAGTTAAGAGATCTTCTGAATGTATACTTTATACCTTTGGGTATGATCAGTTAGTAAGTGAGCTATGGTACGTAGGAAATAAAATGATCCATGTTCAGTGATGAAATATGTTATGCATCGTCATAGGAAACAAGTCAGTAGTGTTCATGTTGATTTCTTTACCGAGAGTTAATTCATTTATGTACTCCAATACCTATATTGTTGTAGATTTACCTTTGTATATAAAAAGTTTCATTTTATTTGAAAGTAGAGTACTCTGGCAATCTTATCACTTGGCGATTCATGTAACTTATTTGAAGATGGTAAATAATGTTGATATAGCTACATAGTTCATGCTGCTTCTCTGATGCTAGGTTCTATTGTTCTATTAATATGTATCCACTCTATTTTTAATCTATTTATTTGTTTTTAATTTTGGGCATGGATGGGATGCATGTTTACAAATTGATCAAGACAACATACCAACAAGTTGAAAAAGGATTTATCAAGTGACTATATTGTGCAGTATAAAATGTTTGAGAATATAATTTTAGTGCAAATTGTAAATTGGACTTATACCATAAGGTGTTAAAATTGAGAAAGAATGTGAGACATGTAAATGCGGGAGAAGCGTCTAACTCATTAAATTTACATACTTCTTTTGATTCAATTTTATAATTCGATAATGTTTTATTAAGAGAGGCTAATAATGGGGAACCAACATTCAAGAAATGATGGGGAACCATAATCTGGCACGTCACTCAAAATTTTTGTTAAGTAGTAACATTCGGCCTAAAAACTCTATTGTTGATATTCATTAGTCTGAGTTGTTGAGAATCATGACAACTGACACAATAAGCTATTTCAAGAGACCAATTCCGTTAAAAAGTCTGAGACAATTGAAGGATTAAAAAGATATTGATGAAAATGGGGGAACAAATTGACAATACTACCCAATGTTGTTAATAAGATACGAGATTTTTATTGTAGTATTTGTTTTTTTCCTTACTCTCAAAACATTATTCGTACCAATTACAATTTACGAGTCTTAAATATATTTTCCTTAATTATAATTATTTATGTGTATGACATATATATATATATATATATATACTCTTTCCATTCATTTAGACATTAAAAGCTAATATTTACAAATAATGTCATATAACTATTATTACTTAATATATGTCCCGTGCATCGCACGGGTGAAAATCTAGTAGTTTTGAAACTGTTGAAACTGCAACATTCTTACATGAATTGAGAGCTATTGCATAGATTTACATGAATTATGAGCTATTGTATGGATCTCAATTTTCATATCCAACGAAGTAGACTTATTTAGCAAAAAGAGTTAAACTAGTATCTGGATAATACGTAGTATGAAATTACATTAAAATACTTAGTATGATTTATTATTATAATAGAATACTTATACTGATCTTTATATTTTCAGTCTTTTAAAATTTAAATATATATATTTATATATGTGGTGCGCATGTATACAATATTTCTGAATTCATACATATTTATGTATAGTGAAAGTTAAGCTAACTTGATAAGATGTCCCGCACAGCCAAATATTTTTCTTTGAATATATAGGATTACTGGCTTATTATATTTTAAATTATCATCAAATTCATAAAACTATTTTATTTTTAGACCTTTATCAAAATAGGATTCAAACTCCATTTTTTCCCTACAAATTATACTTTTCTTTTTTGTATTCTCAAAATTATACTCCGTACTATGTACATTTTTATCAATACCAATGCCCTGCACTTTAGTGATGGAAGTTCCGTCACTAATTCTGCCACAAACAGGATTATGAAGGAAATTTGTGGCAGACCATCCGACACAAAATTCTGGAAAATATTACGTTTATTGGCAGATTTATTAAGTTTGTACCAAGTTCCCATTACAAATCTAATGGGACACAGAATGTCTATTTGATTCTTGGCACCCTTGAGAAGAGAAATCAGATTGTGAGAAAAAGCCTTA